ACGGAGCGGAGACAAAGCGTTCACGGATGATGGATTCCCGGCTACCCAAGGCGTGCATGTCTCTTTTGACATTCAACTAGATCACAGTACCCGACAAATCATATTTGGAGAAATATGGCATCTTACAAAAGACCTTTATAGGCAAAAAAGGCAAAAAGAAAATACAATTATCCAGTTGTCTAGAGATGACTGTGCACGGTCCATGTCTTGTCTACCAGCTCGTAGGGCTGTCAGTCACCGGGATGTCTCCCGCGAATGGCTCTGGAACTTGTTGTCCCCTGGGCAAGTCTGAAACCTTCGATTGGATCCTGTGACAAGAAACATTTGTCAGCGCCGACTGTATCACTTAACACAACACCACCAGGCTGAAAGGATGTAGGTTTGACAACGGATTCAGAGACAACTAGAGTTCCAGTACCTCATATATTTGCCAAATAATGTTGTAACATCTTGACGCTTGATGAATTATAAATTTTCCTAATCTTATGAATATTAGCCTTATGAGCATGAATTAGTTACATTCTGCACTCAGTCAATGAAGGCCATTTCAGCATGCATTATGCAAATGGCTTCCTGATTTGAATAAATTATGCTAATTGTGTTTACCTTAACTTCACATTCAAATTTTCGAACAATTAAAAATTTTCCGGCAGTTACCACTAAAGAATGTATTCATTAATCATACAAATTAAACCTTCATTTACATAATACATACCTGGTAATCATCATCTCATTAATTACATTCCCCTTATTAATTACGTTCCCCTTATTACTTATATAAATAAGATCGCATAAGCTACCCACATACCAACAATCACGACGATGCGTCAAACGGTTCTTAAATCATCATCCTCATTTAACATACAAAAGTTGCTAGGAGGCCTAGGGTCTCTTTCTTAGCACAAGAGCTATCTACCATCCCTAAATAATTTCATCAGGTTGGTAAACGAATGAATAGCAAAGTTTTTTTATCACAACTATTTATTTTTACGAGCCGAAGTTTCGATGACCGTCTGTCATCTTTATCAGGGCAATTCTAACTGGTTTACTGTGCACTGACGATAGACGTTACTTGGTGCATGGTGCATTCAAGGTTACATAGTGCACTAAAGCTATCTACCAGCAAAAATGTGTGGGAAAATATAACATTCTTGGCGAAGGTAATTGCGCTGAGAATGTAAACACCCATCACATACAAATTGCTAAGAGAAGTCACATCCAAAAAGATGTCTGGAGGAAATGGTCGACCTATTCTAACTCCCCCAATGTTAAATGTGTATCTAAACGTATTTTCGATCCAACATCTTCGCGCCAAGTGTAAAGTTTAACGTACGTAAACATGTTTAGATGAGACATGCAAAATCTTAAGCGAAAGACGTACCTTTTGTACCTGTACAGGAGCGTTATCAGGACCAACACGCCGATGATACAGACGGCACCCAGGCCTATCCCTACTCCCATCCCCGGGTGGAACAGTTCTTCTGACTGCTCGCCACTTGTCGGACGTGCCGAGCTGCCGTGTCCGGATGGGGACTGGGTGTAGTCATCGTTCATGGCGTAAGAGTTCAGCAAAGACAAGGTCAGCACCTGGATGTTCATACGAGTTAGTAAATTACATTGTGAAACAAAGAACTATTCTAATACTTTGCGCTTTACTTTTACGCTTCTGCTACACTTTAACAAACACAAAAAATATTTTCGACGTTTTCACTGTTACTTCTTGTAAAAGTAGATTCTTCTAATTGATACCAACTCGTCTTGTTACCTTGTTACCTAATTTGTTTCAACTATTTTGTATCATACATACATTGCATTATAAATACATACATACATACATTCATATTTTGTATTGTTGTGGACATCTCAGAAACGTGCATAAAGTAACTTGTCCTGAGGATGGGTCAGATAGCTAGAGACTGACTGACTCCGGCGAGTCTGGAATTTTCTGGAGAGAAAAGTTTAACATTTAGCGTTATAGGGTAGCCGTTTGGTATTGGTGATGGGGTTTGGCAGCACGAAGAATGTCAATTGTTGAATAGCAAAGTTCGTTAATCACAATCATTTATTTTTCACGGGGCTCTTGAAAAATAAATGGTTGTGATCAAAGAACTTTGCTATTCATTCGTTTACTAACCTGATGAAATTATTAACGAAGGTTAATTTTGTTTAAAAGGGTGAGCACCTGGTTGTATCCAAGGACTGCCTCCATGTCCATCCTGATATGCTGTAGAACTGTGAGGAGGACGCGGCTGGGGAAGACCTGCATGCTGCCCGGGTAGGTGACGTACAGACCGAGCAGCAGCCGATCTCCTGCCGCCTGGGGGAACCGCGATGGGATGTGGACGTCGGCCTCCGTAAATATCAACCTTCGGAAAATAATAAAAAGAAATTACGAAAGATGAGAATAGATATACGTCTTCATATATATCAAAGTTTTCTTAGGCTATGTACATACTTATGTGTGTATCAGACGCCCCGAGTTCCCTTGCAATAATGGTCGTGAGCAATGATTGTTGGCATGTGTGTTGTGTTTTCTTTTAAATCAATGACATGATTTTGCGTCATGCATAATAGTACAATGGTAGAATCAAAGGTCATTGAAAAAAAAAACTTACTCCTATAGCGATCGCCTGACGGCGAAAGGCTGATAGAGCCTCTTAGAGGAAATAATGCCGATACTTCATTTCAGGTGATTATATACATATTTTTCTTGGTGATTATATCACATGTGTCGATTAAGCTTCAAGGCCTTAACATCAATAACTTTTCTATATTTGGAAACACAACCTCCAGTGGAAGTTATACCTTCTCCCAGCACTGGAAGTGCATGCCGGGTACTCCCTAGCGTGCCGTGTGCAGAAGGAAGTCAGTCCGGTTGCGACGGTTTCTAGAAGCTCGCTGTTTTCCGCCGGGAACAGGAACTTAGCAACAAAAGTGTATAAAAATACATATAAAATAACTGCTAGCGCCATCAGTTCTGATCTTAAAAACAAGAAACAGAGATCGTTTTTTCAACTTTTGACAGGAATTATGTGATTGATTGATTGAGTGATTGATTGATTGTATGATTGAGTTAGTGAGTGAGTAAATGAGTGTGAGTGAGTGATTGAGTGAGTAAATGAGTGAGTGATTGAGTGAGTAAATGAGTGTGTGAGTGAGTGAGTGAGTGAATGAGTGATGCAGGGCGAAGTATTACCGTGTGCCCGAAACCATCCTCCTTTTCTCCGTCTGAAAATATCTATTTACCTTTCTATGTGCAGATAAACATGTTTATTGTAAAACATAGGTTATCGTACCTCTGGAACGCTCATGGTCATTTCCAACACGATAATGTTGTCGGCTAAATGGTTCTCAGACTTGACGGTTGTTGTTTCAGTGGACGTGTCTACTGGTATCACGATGAGCTCTGCAACGGCAAGCCATATTCATATTCAGAAATCTCAATAGGCATTGTCAACAAAGGTATGAGGGAGCAAGTAATTAAACATTGCTACTTGTATGTTAATCATACATTGGTTATACTGAAAAAATTATTGAAGAAGTGTTCTTAGAAACTAGCTTAATACTGAAAAATTATGAGTAATACCTGGCGCGCAGATATCGCCCTGTAAGAATGTGCCTGGTACGCATGCGCAAGAGTAGGTCCCCGGCTCGTTCACGCACATCTCGTTCCCAGTGCAGTTGTATGTGCCATCGTAGCATTCATCTATGTCTGAAAACAAATGGTTTGTTTTAAGATTACAGATATGTTTGTTTCTAAAATTGTAAATTAGGATATAATATAAGAGTAATACTAGAAAGGTAACATTTGCAAGCAAATGCAATATGTTTACCTCAGGATGGTCTTGCCTACGAT